CAGAAATAGCTAGGAATTAATAACATGCATCCAACACTTGCCACGATCCCCTACCGCTTCAATTTGCCGGGAGATTAAAAACGACTGCCAAGTTTACTAAATTAGAAGCGCGGGGGAAACAAACGCACGCGCGTGTAGCATTACTATCTCTTATTTACAGACGATGATCTGCATATCATCTCACGGGGTCTCACGCTGGGGGGAGAGAGGTAAATATCAAGTTCACCAACCCCGCCGAATGTAGGTGTCCTATTGATATTTTGGCGTCCAGCCTCCGGCCACCTGTGGCACTTCTGGCCTTGCCAGTTCACCTGGTCGAGGGACAGAGGGAGAACAGAGAGACTAATCGTGGTTAGACCTGTTTCCCTCTGCAGGAGTAAGAGTTTAGCAGTCAACACCTTCCTTACCGAGATACCCGCCACTAGACCTTAAAACCCCTGAAGGAATGCTATTGACATCTGTCATCATCTGGAAGCTAATGGGATCAACAAGCTTCGACTGCATACAGTCACATTCTGACTAAATAAATGGAAAACTAGGATTTTCAGTTTATCCAGTAGGATCATATTTGATTCTGAGAGGATTCTTGTTTTATCCCATTTAGGATTGGTTCCAAATTATGATAAAGCATTCCTTCGGGATATTTGGCTGCTCCAGAAAAGACCTCATGCGGGCGGTCAGGACTGATCATGAAGTGTATCCGAAAGAACAGGATCAATGGGTGTCCATGATAAACCAAAGGGGGGGAAATCATAAAAAAAAAACTAAGACATGTGCTGTGTACTCTTTTTTTTTTTAATTCATCGTTTTGATTTTAACAAGCTTTTATATGGTTTTCAAAAGTTACATTTAATGACATAAAATGTCATGCGGTGTAACCAGTAAATAAAAGGTAAAAATATTTCTATATTTACATTTTTAATACATAGTTCACACATCACAATCATCATTTACAAAAAAATTTAAAATATATTTTTAAGGTAAATGTTATATATATATAGGCTATATATATTTATATATGTGAATTAATAAATACACACCACATGACATTTTATAACCTTAACTAATATCATAAAAAGATAATATTGTCTGATATTTCTGAGACTTATCTCTATGATATAATTTCCAGTCCCCCCCCCCCCTAAATATTGGTTGGACCACATGACTTTGTTGGTCATACTACACAGAAGGCTATAATATATTATAAACTTTTTTTATATTGTACGGTTTTTTTTTCAAGAATTGTATTCCTGTATTATGACTTTTTATGATATTGCGACATTTATAGAAAAGGTGCATTTAAAGTCATCGTATATATTTGCACAATTCTTTTGAACAAATTAATAGAACGGAGAAAAAAAGAGCTAAAAAGTCTCTCAAAATGATAAAGGTGCATTAGTCTAACATTACAACATCCATGTTACATACAGAAACGAACACATTTTAACAAGTTCACTGCACTGTAATTATCATCAATTTTCAGATGACGTACGTTGTATGTCATCTTTGTTCTAAAAGATTGATAAAGAAGCCTAATGTTGTCTGAAAATCACCTTTCTAAAGGACTCAGCACTCCATATTCTGGTTTGATGTCCCAGTCTTGACACTGCTGATCGGGGCGACATGTCTTGATTTTCTGCGGCTTTGATCCTTCAACAGTTGACTGTCTGAGCTGGCAGGCATCCTGAAGGAGACAGCTAGCAGGCAGCAAATAAAAAGACATGATCTCTTTCTCTCTCTGAGCACGAGCGTGCAATATGCCCTTGCTAAGCCTTCCATATCACATCTCAAGCAGTTTTGGTGGATGCACAGTTCTCACAAGAGAAACTATTGCTGAACTGTATTTCAGAATCACTGCAAAGACAGGAAAGGTAGGCTACCAGCTGTAATTAAAAGGCTTAGTCTTATTTACATCATTCAAATAAGGACAACAGAGTACAGGTGCACATATTTACGCCGTTTGTGACAGCCATCCTCGGTGTATGACTCCGTAGTGAGGTGGCCTTTTCAGGCATTTAATATTACATCACACTTGAGAATTTATCACGTTACAAAAGACAAGCCGTAAGCTTCATCACAAATGCAGACGTTATGTCATTTTTAATAAACCCTCTTAAATGGGGGGCAAGCCAAGCAGAGATTTCCCAACGAGCTTTCTGTCACCTTTACTACGCTGGCTGTCATTCGGAAAGGCTGAGACACAGCCCCATCTCCCCAGCATCTACAGGAGGAAATGTTAATTAGCAGGCATGGCATCCCACTGATCTTCTCTTTCAAAGCAGCTAAATGGCATGCTCAAAATCAAAATCCTTTTATATGCCCTTATTTGCAGAGAGCGCGTATGAAAGGGACAAATATGTCATCACTGTTTGGTTGGCATTATTCGAAGCCCTTTCAGTCTGTGATTTAAGTGTAATTTTTCAGATTCACAGTGAGTTTTAAACAGGAAACATGCACAACTGCAGACGAGCCATTGCATAAATGCTTTAAAAAAATGAATAGCTAAAAATATTATTCATAGAGTGTAGGCAAAATTTTAGTTAAAATAGTTTCATGTTTTTTTTTAATCTCTTTTGTTAATATTATGTATTTGAAATTGGTGCTTCCTAATTTATTTTTAGTTTAGTATATTAAAAATAGATTATTATAATCAAAAGGTTATGATAAATACAATGGCTCAACGTCATGAAAGGTGCACTGCTCCCTTCATGAACTAAATGCATTATTGAAAAAAATGGACAAACTGAAAATATAATTTGCAGTAAAAATTGTACTAAAAAAGTACAATTTAATTAATTGAATTATTCTTAAATGCGGTCATCATTAAATGCATTCAGTGTTTCTACAGTAGCTTTAGCTCATGCAAAGATGGTTAGTGACATTGTGGAAAATTTCAAGTTTACAAAATATGATAACAGCACACTCTTGTGGTCGTTAATAATTAGCACATAGTAACTTCAAAAAAGAAACGTGAATGATTGACGTGTGGACGGTGTTAGCATTTCTAATGATCTTAATTTTAATCATCTTTACCATTTTTAATTATAATATCTCACAACATCAGCTCTCTAGTTATGATTTGTTGTTTTCAAGCGTTAACTTCAAAAAAGTTCATAATTTTGTTGGGAACTAAGTTTTGAACCTTTAACTTTATAATGGGTTTGATGATGTAAGGTAAGAGCAACTGAAGAAAAAGGAGTATGAAGAAGCAGACGACTCTTTATAGGCCTGAAATGTGCAGGATTTAACATTCATTAGCAAGTGTTTCTCTAAACCTTGATGTACAGACAGTGATAGCCCTCGGTGTATGACTCCGTAGTGAGGTGGCCTTTTCAGGCATTTAATATTACATCACACTTGAGAATTTATCACGTTACAAAAGACAAGCCGTAAGCTTCATCACAAATGCAGACGTTATGTCATTTTTAATAAACCCTCTTAAATGGGGGGCAAGCCAAGCAGAGATTTCCCAACGAGCTTTCTGTCACCTTTACTCACACGGTAGTTCTAAATATTTGAACAATATTGTAGAGAAGTGGTGTAGAAAAAAGAAAGACATATCTTTACATGCTTAAAGCTTTAGAAAGTTCACTCAAAAATGAAAATTACGTCAACATTCACTCATCTTCATGTTGTTGTAAACCCACAAGACTTTATTCCGTGGAACAAAAAGATGTTAGGCAGTGTGTGAGCTTCACTCATTCACTCAGAACACAAGTTTGTTATTCATGCTTGAAACATGAAAAACAATTCTCTGCTCTTAATGAACATTCTGAAAATATCTACATAGATAACTCGTAATGAAAGACATGTCTAGAACAGTGTTTCTCAACCAGGGGTCCGTGGACCCCTAGTGGTCCTTGATGTAAGGCCAGGGGGTCCATATAAAGTATGAATTTTTGTATAAATGTTGTATATTTTGACATGACATGATCCCATGAAAGAAAAATCCAATATAGCTGGACAAGTCAACTAACTTGAATTATACTTGACTGTATTTGGTCCTCACAAAGACACAATTGATACATAGATGAGTACATTTTGTTCTGGGGGTCCTTGAGGATGGTTCTGAATTGGACTGGGGTCCGGTACGCCAAAAGGTTGAGATTCACTGGTCTAGAAGACACATCGCTGGTTAATTATAACTAAATCTTTTGAGTGAAATGTCTTTTTTATTTACACTTCTTTTTTTTCAAACATACCATAGAGCACAAATGTAAATTACGGCATTTCTTTCTTTCTTTTTTTTTTTTACATTATTACAGCCCTATGGCCAAGCATCATTTTTCTGCATCTTGATTAACACGTCGCAAATAATGACTGCGGCTAATAGAGTCAGTGTCTGTATTGCATTACTTCAGTGTCGTTTCTTTCTTGTGGAAGTTGATCTTTCACAATGTTCAAGTGTTAAACTGTCTACTTGCAGCGAAAAGCTCTTTTTTGACACTGTTGTATTGGTGTTGCAAAGCTGCAATTAAAGCACTGTAGTGTAATGTTTATTGTGCCTAATTTTGCACAACTGAAATGTGCAATTGTTTACACATGTATTGAAACTCCCTGGCATTCAACGTGACAAAATACCTTTTTGGCATTTAAAAAAAATAAAAATATAGGTTTGGCCTTATTTTAGTTTACTCCACATGGAAGCACCATCATTGTTAAAAATAAAAAAATAAAAAAAACAGTAGCTCTGCTTTAGTAAATATACTCCCCATCCAGAGTTCCATTGTGCTTTTGGTGTGAAAATTTCACAATGATATGTTATGTTTCAAGAAAACACAATATCCTCTAATGTAGTGGTTCCCAACCCTGGTCCTGGAGGCACCCCAACACTGCACATTTTGCATGTCTCCTTTCTCTGACACACCAATTTCCGGTCTTGGAGTCTCTTCTAATGAGCTGATGACCTGAATCAGGTGTGTTTGATTAAGGAGACATGCAAAACGTGCAGTGTTGGGGTGCCTCCAGGACCAGGGTTGGGCACTGCTCTAATGTATGTATAACCACACAAAGGTGTTTACACCACTTGTATATCAAAACAAAAAAGTAAAAAGAGAACAGAACATTCAATTAATTCATTAACAAATGAAAACCAATGTGACATTTTACAGCGTTACATTTCATATTGGGTCTGAAATTAACATGGAGTATAGGAGGAACATTGGGTTATTTTGCAAACACAAGCATAATCAGAAGCTGGATCTAAGGCTTGAGCGTCAATAAAAGATACATGACTACTGACTGTTCACAGGTTAAGTCTCCAGATGCAGCATGCACTTATAAATGAGTGATGAACATTTGATAACCCTAACCCTAACCTAAAATACATATTTGAATAAATATATTAGTATCTGTTTTAAAACTAACTGTACATGGGCTATTGTGTAGTAAAATACTTTTCAGTGAGTAAAAAGGCTCTGTAAATGCAACTGTTTATAAAAATACCCCTTCAGTATGTCCAAAATATCTTCTTCACTGCCCTATAAAACTGTCTTTAGACATTAGAAACCATCTCTGTATACATTTTAGGAAAATAGTGGAATAAAAGTCGTTTTAATCTCATAAGCTTATAAAACAGTTGAAATCGGAAGAATTTTGACCAATGATTAATTGTTACCAAGCAATCACTGCTTCCTAGCTCTCCTTTACGCCATAAACCTCCACTATCGTGGTTTTCATTCTCATTCTTTTCTACATTTGTCTAGATGATGACTGCAGAATAGTCCACAATTTTCTACTGTGTTTATATACCACTATCAACATGTGGAAAATGAACAAGTGGCAAGTAATAAGCAGTACCAAAATATTTGGGACACAGTTTTCAAGATAACAGCAGGAACTACTTTAGTTACTAACTCTATAACCAGTTCCAGAAATATTTGGCAATATCCATTGTTAATCTTCTTACTGGTTACCCCAGTATGAATAAAAATACCTTTACATCAAAGCTTAAAATCTTTAACCTTTTAGAAAGAAAAACAGCATGTGTTAGTTTCCGAATACCTTTATGAACCGAGAACTAGGCTAAAATGACAAATCACTGTAATTCCATAATGCACGATCCATTTGAAAATGAAGCTTCCGCTGTGGCTGGTTATTATTCCTGCAGGATCTTTTAGGAGTGTTATGTTGCTAGCTCTTCATGTAATAAAACTCAACAGAATCACCATTTTTTAATTCTTTGGAAAGAACCATTTTAGTACTGCAGTTCCCAAATCACTGCTCCAACAGGTGGATCCTTGTAGAAGCCCTCAGTGGAGTTTGGGATCCTGACCTTTGGGAGTGCCCACACATTGAACTACTTAAAATAATGGATGTTCAGTCCTGGTCCTGGGGCTCTGACCATCCTGCACAGTTTAGTTCCAACTCGACACACTAGAAGATAATCAAGTTCTTTGGAAATCACCGGAAGGATTATTAAAGCAACAAAACTCCACAGGAAGGTTGATCACCAAGAAAGAACAAAAAGCATCTTGAGTCTAAAGCCAGGTGTAGAAATGTATTAAATCTCCTGAGTGATGTGCTCATGCTGGTGTGAACTGACATCTTGTAGGCCGGTAGACAAAATAACTAAAGGAAATCATGACAGACACCTGTCATTCGCCAACTATTACCACAGTCATGAGCAAGAACCTGCTCTCCAGCATAAGCATTTCAAGGGCAATTTCACAGCTTGCGGTATGAATCGGTCCTTAGTCGCATCTTCTACGAATTGTCCTTCAGCATACTGGATTCCAATTACGCAATAATCCACTGTCCACCTCCTCTACACTCTCAGTCTATAGGCCCCTGAAAGATGAGCTTAGCCCACTTTTGCGCCAGATTGAGTTGGGTAGTGCAGAAGGGGCAGGCGGCATGGAAAGCGTGGGTGCCATGCGGTAAAGGAATCTCCGCCCAATAGCGGGCTGATTTTTCAGAGCACACGTGGCCGCAAGGTACAAAGGCATGCGTTGGTGCACCGGTATCTACGTAAAAGGCTGGTTCGCAGCCAAGCCAGAGTGGCACGTAGGGGCCCACGGTTCTGCACATGGGACACTCTCTTTGAGCATTGGGGTCTCGTTCAGAACGGTGGCCCCAGTCGTGGTAGCCATGAACGTGGCCACAGGCAAGGTAGACCCAGGGCTGCTTGTCCTCTTGGGTGGGGACACTTGCCAGGGCACGACTGCAGCGTTGCATGCTGGGAAAGGCCAGGGTGTTGAGGCCCACGGGGCACTGAGGCCGGGCTGCGTTCAGCTCTTGCCGCAAGGCCTCCAGGTGCTTCTGAGTGGGGGTGTGGAAAAGGCCGTCAGCTGTGCGCCAGAGTAGTGTGGCTCCGCACAGGTCAACCAGAGAGCCATCTTGGAGTACGTTACTCTCACTCTCCACCTGAGCATAAAACAAACATCTGAGCAATGCATTCATTACAGGTATTTAATACATCCTTTTTTCAAAACACATGTCCCATGTTGGATTGTGGGGAAACTGGATCTCAGGCCTTAGGCAGAGAAACACCTTGGACAAATGGCCAGTCCATCACAGGGCTCACACTCATTCATACTTGCACGCACACTTACAGACAGCTTAAGGTGTCCAATTCATCTGTCCTGCTTGTCTTTAAATTGCAGAGGAAACTGGAGCACCCAGGGGAAACCCACGCCAACCCAGGGAGAAAAAGCAAACTCCACACAAAAAGGCCTTCTGGCTTAGCCGGGAGTCAAACCAAGGATTACAGGTGTCCATTAAAGGGACATTTCACCCAAAAATAAAAATGACCCCATGATTTACTCATCCTACGTGTATATGACGTTCTTCTTTCAGAGCTTCCAAGCTTTATAATGGCAGTGAATGGTGGTTGAGATTTTGAAGCCCCCAAAAAAGTGCATCCATCCATCATAAAATGTACTTTACAAGGCTCCGGGGGGTGAATAAAGGCCTTCTGAAGCAAAGCGATGCATTTGTTTAAAAAAAATCCATATTTTAATCTCTAGCTTCCGCAAACTGTCGTACTCACATTCACGTGAGAGAGTGGCGTTCCAGAGGATGACGTAGGCGTAGCATAAGCTTTGATAAAGTGTAGATAATAAATGCATCTGTGCAGGTCACTGTTTGTGTGTGTTTTTTTGTACTTCAATGCAAATGAAAGTAGTTTTTACTTTGATTACTCTATTGTAATGATGCACTGTAGGTAACACTGTCACCTCATTGTAAGATCATCCCCGGTTTGAGTCCGGCCTGAGCCAGGAGGCCTCTTACTTTTTACACCAAAAACATTTGCGTTCTGGAGCCAGAGCCCCTTCTCAGCCAGTTCTTGGCCAGGCAATCTGGAACCTTTGTAAAACAGCTGCGTGTTTCAACTAATTTGAGAAATGAACGGTGAAGTAACACCACCGTGTGTTGTTTACCTGACTATAGCCAGTGTAAAAACAAGCACTGCGTGTACTCTCTTCTGTTCTTGTTGGAAAGATACTGAAAATTAAACTGCTGATTCACTTGTTCTCTCGCTCGTTGTGTCTCTCTCTCTCTCTCTCTCTGTTTTATACACTTAAACATGCAGAGCAATTTCTAATTTCTCAATGAGTTCAATGGATTAATCGATGGATGGATATTGTTTTTTCAATTTCTGATACTGTAAACTTTTGCTTACTAACACATATCCATGAGGTTTAATGTATTTCTCAAGTATTTACTTTCAGCAGTGTGTTTTTTAGCAAAAAAGTTGTTGTAGTATGGTAACAATGCAAGAGTGCAAAACCACATTTGTCCTCCAGGAGGAGCTAGAGGTTCAAAGAGTTTTATACACTTAAACATGCAGAGCAATTTCTCATTTCTCAATGGATTAATATTGAATTTCTGATACTGTAAACTTTTGCTTACTAACACATATCCATGAGGTTTAATGTATTTCTCAAGTATTTACTTTCAGCAGTGTGTTTTTTAGCAAAAAAGTTGTTGTAGTATGGTAACAATGCAAGAGTGCAAAACCACATTTGTCCTCCAGGAGGAGCTAGAGGTTCAAAGACTCAAACATACTGTGGCAGCTTGTATTGAACAGCTCTAAATAACCAAACTAAGTAACTGCCTTGCTTCCTTTCTAGCTGTCGAACATTTTTACACTCCCTTAAAAAGACACTAAACATTCCCCTAAAAAATATAACTCTGAAATATAACTATGACTTTGCAAACTGAACGCAGTGAAACAAACATGATCCGAGTAAGACCATATCCATAAGGTACTAAAAAAAAAAAAGTCAACAACTTAATCTAAAGCACATGAGTAATCTAGAGTGTCCTAGTCAGAGAATGGTGATAGAGGCCTTTTTAATGCTCAATTTAGGGGTCATCCTTACCATAATTTGAATCGGTACACCTAGCTATCCCAGAATCTTCACTAGTAACATCCCACCTATAAAGTCTGGAACCTCTTACAAGATTCAAGGAACTCCCTGACCCTGGACTGAACCCCTAATTCTGCTGCAGTTCAGATAAATCAAGTCTAGATGGTTTCTGCAATTGCTTAAATTTTAGCTTGAATTTATAATCACAATTGTAAAAGGAATTGTGAGTGAATTGATGATTGGCTACACCGTGAACTAAACTGAGCAGATGCAGCAGACATACTAACCAGTTTGCCTCGAGTTTGAGCAGACCGTGTTTCTCTCAGTGTGTAAACATCTCCACACACTGATATCTCCCTCCACACACCAGGCTTGGACTCCTCTGTGAACCCGCCCCGCGGGTGCATGACTAGCACACCATTGGTTGTCAGCCCGTCCATGTGACCATCTGGATTCTTCCATTTGGCTGCTTTCTCCTACAGAGAGACTTAATTACTATACATAAACAAAAATGAATGCACTGCACTCTTTTTAGTTACACATGGGTGACTCATTCCAGTTCGCCAGACACACCTATATTTACCAGGTAAGTTTAGATCAGTTCCACTGGATCAGCAGAAGTGGATACTTCCCAAGACAGCAAATACACGAGTATATATAAATAAAAGCTTAATAAAGTAACTCTGATGTGAAATGTATCACATGACAATGTAACACACTTACTCCGAGAAATATATTCTTGGAAGAATCAAAGCCTGCAGCGTAGATACGCGCTGTGTAGGGCGGGTTACGTTCACACACCACCCGGCAGGCAAAGCGGGAGATGGTGCTTTGAGTGATGAGCGTGTCCTCACTCTCCCCTCCTCCGCCTGACACAGTGTCAGTCACCACAAAGTCAATAGGGCCTTCCGTTGATCGTCCAATCTAGCATACAAAAGAAAAAGAAATAAATTCAAGTTTCTCAGATATATGTAACAACTAATACAAATTTTTAGCAACTATCTGATAAGTTATATTTCAGGTCATGACAGAAAGAACAATGTTAGGATAAAACAATTATTCTTATTATTGAAAAGAATATACACACACACACACTTACCTAGCTAATTAGCTTATCTAAATGGGGACTTTACATAGACTTCTATTGTTTTTATATACAAATAGTTATAGATTTTATAAGCTAATCCTAACCCTCACAGAAAACTTTGTATTTTTACAAAAAAATAAATAAAAAATAAAAAACCCTTTACTTTATTTTTATACTAGTTTTACAAATGAGGACGTCCCCCAAAGGTAGGTTTTTAGAAATGTTGTCAGCTTTAGCTCACTTTTTGGTATACACATACACACACACACACGTATAAAATATTGATTTATTAAAATGTCTTTATTTTTTACACACACACACACACAATTAAAAATCTATATTTTATTCTTACTGATGATGAAAACGGTTATACTGCTTACATTTTTTGTGGATACAGTCATTTTTATTTTTTTCCAGAATATTTTGATGAACAAAGTGTGAAAAGCGCAAAAAATTCTGAAATCAGTCAAATGTTTTGTAGTTTTTAGCAGTCCCTACACTGTTTTTCGTCCTGTTTACTACGGAGACAAAATAGTCATGCATGTGCCGGGACTTGTTTGAAGAGCCTATTTTAGTTTTAAAAGTGGGGTGGAAATTCCCAAGAATAGAGAGGTGCTCATTGCACTAAATCCTGTTTATAAATACTTGTACTGAAATAAAGATGCAACAGTCTCCACTTTATTTCCGTTTTATAGAGAGCGTTTCTGTTTTGTCCCTGTGGGTTGCTGCTGGTTCCCGTTTTTGCTTTTCTTCCCATTTGCTACAATCCATATGACTCTTTCCCTCATGAGCAGACCAGACCCATATCACAGATCTTGATTAGCTGTGGTAAAGATCAGACCTCAGAGTATAGCACACATAAAAGTTGGACAGAAAGAGGTGTGCCTGCGCACAGTCACTGAACTGAATTTATGCTCAAAGTAACAGTGGAGAAGAGATTTCAAAGTGTTTTTTGTTTTTGCGAAACAGTACCTGGAACATGTCTGTGTCTTTGTCATGGCTGTACTCCACCACCACCGTCTGGTTTCTGGACAGCGTGTAGGAGATGCTGTGCTGGCCCTTACAGTTCACCGCCTGTCACAACACAACAAAAGCATCTGTCAGAGAGGGTGTCCTGCAACAGTGGCACACAGAGAGTGGGGTTTTTTTAAATACATTACAAGATTTTTACACTTTCTGAAAACATCAATGATGTTTTCCTGTGAAAAACATGCCGCCACAATTCCAGGATGTTGCCACGTAGTACCTACAGCTTTTAGTGTGATTTTTATGCTGTTGCTATGTCTATAAGATTTGTTTGTCCCTTTCATTTTGTCTGATAAAAAAAAAAAACCTAATGGGTCAGAGAGTAAAAAAACATTTTAGGCTCATGCCCCAAGTAAGCTTTACTTATAAGTTATACAGACAATTTGCTAAATTAATAATCAAGTAGGCTTAATATTGCATAAGAAATTCACATTTTGACAAGCGTTTAGCAGTCTTGACAAGAACTCAATGCACCGTTTAACTTTTAAATGTTACCCCTTTACATTGGGCTGCTGAGGAAGTGACTGCAAGTGTAATGAGGAAAAACAAGCAACCACCAATTACAGGTGCGTATGTACTGTCTCAGGTTCATCTTTCTATCTACTAAATGGCATAATATCTGTCTCCTATTTAGAAATTCATGAAAACCTACAATAAGGGAAGGCTACAATAACATTTGCTATGGCCTCCCATGATACCTCTATATGCCCTTTACCCTACTAAACCCGGAAGAGTGAAAAGGTTAGAAAGCAGCACTACTAATAACTCAGACCTTTGTATATACAGTATATGTTTGTCCAAAACCAAAATGCCACTGTAAGAAAATGATCGTTTAACTGTCTGTCAATGTGAAACACACCCCATCAAGCATTCATTACTCAGACAGTTGTCATACGTGGCTTGTTATAAATAAATCATACATGATTCAAGTCAAGAGTGTAAGAGTGTAAGAAACATCACATGACTAACACAATTTTTTTTTAAAGTATAGTTTGAAGACCATTCTATATCATTTCTACTCAATGAAGTAAGAAAATTAGCCGTCACAGATATGCATGCATGATCTGAATTGCGATACAAATTGAGTTCATTTCAAAGAGCATTGTGTGTGTACACTATTCTGGTGGCTTGAGACAAACCACAACATTGCAGTGTTTATAAGCAGCCAATTTCCCATCATGCTTGCTTCTCGCTTCCCAATTCACCCTTTCTCTCCTCTAATCTGTGATTTCCAATTTACCCACATCTCTATCACGTGTGCTCATAAGGGAGTGGAAACTGGGTCACGGTAACTACACTAGTGTGCAACAATGGAAAAACACAGCCAAGAGAGGAAGGTGGTTTGTATCTGTACAACAACACAGCCAATGCATTATGGTGTTTAAAACTCAGTTCACCTCAGTGTGCGGAGCACAGGACTGTGAATGCACATGCACATAACACCGGAGGTCACAAGCAGTTCACATATGCAAACGGAAAGACAATTTCACGCCCCACATATGTCCTGTAATAACCCAGACTAAATAGTCGTGCTGGGTGAGTCTGTTATAGGACAATCCAATATACGAAGCACTCAAAATCCAAATTAATTTTGTACATGAATATTGGAATCATTTAAAGATGTTCTTTATTTTTTTACCACACAACTATTCTAAAAACATGCCAGTCGGGACAGTTTGGTTCTCACTCTTTGTCTCGCAACTCAAGTATCAGAGTAGTGTTTGAATCATTTCCATAAACTAATACAGACGGTCAGAAAGAACTGAATTGGAGTCATTCAAAAATGTTTGGAAGTCCCAGTGTAGCCTTTTACATGCTTCAAAATGTTTAAATAAAACACACGGCACTGTGGCATAAAGAACCTTTGTCAGTAACATCACCTTCACTACTAAAAAGTTGCACATAAAAACATGCAAAAATAAATAAATAAATAACTGCATGACCCAAGTTGTCCCCTGCACGGGAGCGCTTTATGAGCCTCTTTGAAACAGCAGACTTCAATGTGGGGTGATTGCCGCGTCAGGTGCTGACAGAGTGCCAGGTCGACCAAGAGTGGCTTTTACTAGGGCTGCCCTCGACTAAGAATTTTTCTGGTCGACTAGTAGTCATTCATTTTAAGCATTAGTTAACTAATCGCACGTTTATTAATAAACCATTTAAATCATTATAATGAGCCTTTAATTGCCTACATAGCCTAATAAGGGCTCAAGCACACGCATAAAGCTTGCCACAGTGCACAGGCAGAAAACAGTAAGGAGGCTGCATTAACATTTTAATAATTTGATAAACTCGTGCTTTTTGTTTTCGGTTTAAGAGATGAACTCGGCAACACGACTCATCATCTCCGCAGTGGCTGTTTGCATGTTTCATACGGATTACATAATCTGAGAATATTTGTTTTCCATTTTAAGTTCATTTGAAAGTAGACATTTCACTCTCTATAGATATATTTTTAATGTCTGTGAGGCAAAGATATTCACGAGTTTCGTGCTCAAGTTCAGAGAGACCGAGACGGCAGAAAGCGCATCATGTTTGCTTTTATTATTTTACAAAAGCGCAGTGGGGTTTTTTTTCTTGCGAGTGCACACAAATAAACGTAGAGTCTTTACGGATTTTAAAGATGTATTACATTTATCTGTATGACCAAAAAATGACAAAATATTTTAGGAGCAAGGGAGCGCACCGGCACCTTCATCGGTCTTGTTGTGAGCGCTGTTCTGCTTACACACTCCGCACAGACACTTGAACAGCGCACATTTCTCTAGGTTAACATTACACTGAGCGGCCATGTAAAGTTGCTAATACTTACATCTTTCAGGTGATAAGCCATATTTGTGGTGGATGAATGATAGGCGAGCGTTTGGATGTCCTGCCCGATGTACTGTATTACCATAGACTAGCCGTTAACGATCGGTCTCCGTCACGCACTGCGTGACGTGGCCTGTGGATTAAATTTTTCTGCGACTAATAAAAATGTCGACCAAGACTCTTCTGGTCAACTAACTATTAGTCAACTATTAGGGGCCAGCCCTAGATTTTACCGATACCGGTAGCTAGGTTGGACCACACTGGTAATACAGATTAATCAACCGATAGTTTTTAAAATACTGAACGAAAACTAAAATAAACTGTTGTAGTCTGAGTAAACTAGACTACAACAACAACAAAAATCAGTACTCAACCATACTTTGTAAATGAATAAATATATTAAATATTAATTATATATTGATCATTAAAGTTAGTTCATTAACTAATGTTAACAGAAGCAACTTCCAAATTTAAAAATATACAAGTAGATGTTGAAATTAAGACACCAACTAGACAGCCATCTTTAAACATCTACACAAAGGCCATAGCACTGAAAACATATGGATATTGTATGCATGTTCTCACACTTTAATTGCTTTATTCTAGAGCACTTGATGATTATCTAATCAAAATAAAAAAATATTACAGTCGCACACCGGGCAAAAAGCGCAGTGTAGGAGACAGCAGGTATCAGGAGTCCCACACACTGGACGCGTTGCGTTCAGTTCAGACAGCGGTCTAATCAGTTTATTTAATCACCAAACGGGCAAAAGTTCACTTCAAGAATGATCAAAAAGTGGCATAGATGAGTTTGAAGTTTGGCGTTTAAAAAAAAAAAAAAACAGAGCAAAACGGAAAGAAAAAGCGTGATATATATTATAGCTCTCTATATATGAATCATACTTTATTAGAGGCACAGAAAGACAAACGTTTCACTGAAAAATGCACAATACACAATTTTAAAGACTAGGGTGAAGTCATCATATACATTAACAATGATCTGGGACAAATGTTGTGTAATTTAATATAAAACTGAATGGCGGCAGGATTTCTTTCAGCTGAATCAACATCAGTTTGCTTTCTCACGTCAGTTTTGAATCTGGAACTTCGCTGCGTGCTAACAAACACTTAAAGTGACCAGCTGGATATAAACTAATCCAAATAGATGTTAACAATCGTGACATTTAGCATTTGGGTCAGATTTGCGTGTTTTGGTCACATTGTTTTAACCGCTTGAGGTGCTGCTAATGTTCGCGTCCTCTCAGCATTGATAGCAAACGTACTGCTGTTTTTTCTTCACAAATGCAGCATCTAGTCAACAAATTAATTACTTTATAATGATATGAAAACATGCACTATAGTGTACCGTGTACACACCGTTTCGTTGTCTGTTTTAAATCTGCACCTGAAGTGTCCAGCGCAGTGTCACATGCGAAAAAACCCCCGCTTATATTCTATATTCTGTACATTTTATGAACTGCAAGTCATGTGCATATTTTCATTTCGCAAACAGTTTCTAACGAATAACCGTTAAACTTCAAACACTACAGAAGCGAGTGTGTATCAAGACAGAATGTGATAAAGTGCACAATATTTGAATATATGGATTTTTGATCAAATTTGTAGGACCTTAAATGTGCACAAGAAGTGAACTACTGAAATGAGACAGAATCCCTTACGTTTAGCTAAAAAAAAGAAGAAGCATATTTTCATAACTAAAAACACAATACTACAAGTAACTTTAAAAGTTAACTTTTTTAAAGAAAGTACCTATTGTCTGAAATACACTTAAATTGGCCTGTAGAAATATGATAAATAAGATTGTGTATTATGCATAAGCATAAATTTCCTTGTGTTCAGTATAAAATAAAATATATATATATATAGATAGATAGATAGATAGATAGATAGATAGATATAGAGAGAGAGAGATTTTACTGCATATCATCAATGTACTGCATCATTTTTATCTATCGCACCCAGATATAGTCCAAAGCTATATCAATTATGTTGTGAGTGACAGGATTCATAGTTTGCGTATGACCAGCCCAGTTTAAAATTTGGGACGTTATTGTTGGTGGAGCATTTGTGCCTAAACTGTAACAAAGAGGCTTGAGGGTGAAACATTGGGCAGCTCTCCACGCTCACTGCCAGATCACAACAGGGGGTCCATCTATCCACCCCCCACATCCCACCCCTGTTTTACAGTGGGCCACAAAAGCTACAGAAGACCCAAAACAATAGGCCTAGTGGAGCTGCACCCGATGGGCAACAAGATATATGAAGCAGCTCCATCTGTGAGACACCGAAGCAGCTTGGGCCTCGTGTTGTAAACCATGATGAGATGAGATGCTGCGGCCACCAACCTCAAGCCACAGGATCCAATTCAAGTGTACCCTCTATCAGTGCTGGACAGCCCTCAATGCAAGAGGCAACAACTCTAACCTCAGCAAAAACCTTCAAGACATCCATGAACAATCACATATTGTTCCTGGAATAGTTTAGTGACATTTTGTGACCCATTATCTGAAAGGAGTTCACGGGCGCGCTGTGAGTAATCGCAGAGCCTGTTCTTTGTTCAACTTTAACATTACAATGATGCAGCTGCACTTGTGTCACTGCTGGAGAACTGGTTGGTTTTTAGTTAACCCTTTCAGACTGACGCCTGGAGCCACGGAAGGCCTTCCACCTCTGAGCGCCGTGACCCCAAAGAGCAGCGTGATTCACATATGACTGTGCGCTAGGCTATTTTCAGCTCTGACGAGGCACTGCGGACGGATAATAAGCAGCCAACAGTAACAAAACTTCCCCAAAAATACAGCATGCCAGCTAGTTTCATGGCGAGAAGAAAACATTCCTTGCGTTCATGGGACTTTAAGTACGGAGCCTGTGTCTTTGTGTAAAACAAACATATCACAAATATAATCACATTCTTCCTTTTTAAAATGACAAAACAAGCCTAAACTTAAAAATAACTAAACCAGGCTTTATAGTGTGATCAATTCAGTCACATTTGTAACTGAAAATACTAATATCGGTTTGAACACTAACACCGATATTAGTGGAAATTATGATATTTTTAGTTTTCATGTGACTGCACACCCGTGTAGAAATGCCGACCTGGAGGGCAAAACATGGCTTTCCTCTGCTGACTGGCAATTATTTTTACCAGGTTTGTACTAAGAACTAATGTACCAAGTCAGTGATATTAAAACTATAAGTAACTTTAAAAACTTTTTTTAAAGAAAGTACCTATTGTCTGAAATACACTTAAATTTCATATACACCTTGTTGATGACGCATACTATATACAGACGAGCCTAGAATATGAATGCAACTTGCTAAATTGCATATTAAGCGTTTTCTATTGAAAACATTTAAAAAGAAAATGCTTAATATGACTAAATGCATTAATGAGTTCATTTTCTCATCTGTTTGCCTGTATTTAGTCTGCATCATCATCAAGGTGTATGCTGAATTTGATCTTTCAATAACACGGTCTTATTTTTCACTATAAGTGCTTTAGAACGTCCCCGCTGTTGTGATTGAATTACTGCGACAGGTGCTGTATATGGACCGCAAGTGCCCAGAACTTGCAGTTTGTTCACATCTCTTTGTTTTTCTTCTTTTGAGAGGTGATCTAAATATTTGTGGCTTGAAACTGATGGAAAATTGATGGACGTGTGCTGCAGTTCTATGGATGTTTTGTCCTCCAGGTCTTGGCTTGGCAACTGTTTTATTTGATGGCAACATGGTGGAGGAGGCTTTTTTAAAAACCATTCCTGAGTGCTGCGTTTATAGACGCAAAGGCGCGTTCTGTGTGAACCACCCCTTAGAGTCTGCCCAAAAGAAGCAACTTTTTAAAAAACAGCCTCATGTCTATGATAAACGTAAAAATGCAGTCTTGTTAGGCAGCTCACTAGGTTTTGGAACAGAACAAGAGTCACACGCTGTAATGAAGCAGCTCTCATTGAGAAAGATCTCCTCAGACAATGCCGGCTGTTGGCAGGTTGTCTTCAGCTGACTGGAAGAGTAGCAAAATGACATCAAGAGTCATCAGCAATCATCAGAGAAGCCACCAACCACAAAAAAAAAAAAAAAAAAAAAAAAGATCCAATTGGATAAAATATCTTGTTCTCAAAAAGTTAAGTCACTGGAACAAAAGTTATGATCAAAATACTACCACAGCAAGTTAATAAAATGTGGGCTCCACTTGAAAGTTGTGGCCTGGCTACTCAAATGTGTTCAAACAGATCTCAAACACCACGTCACCCATTAAACTTCTCAAGTATCAGAAGGAAGGACCGTCTCTGTGGATTTCAATAACATCTGGGTGAGGTATGCTATCGTAGCCAGTGCTGTGGAGTAACTAAATAAGTCGCAATCTTCCTTAACCAAACATTGCATTGCACCGTTTACTGGGCAAGAAAACAACAAACTCTACAACTTCTCTCTACTATGTGGAGTTGGAAAGTCTGGTAAAAGAATTTTAAGTTCCGTGAATTGCTGTTGCATAGTTGATTCTGGATTTTACAAGCTTCAGAACAGCATGTGTTGATCATGCGCTTGCATGGGAACGGCATGGTTTAACAAGCAAAGAACAGTCCCTTAAGTTAGCCTTTCTCCATGGCCCACAATCTAAAATGAGTTGACACACCCCTGCTGCAAAATATAAAATGAAATGCAATCTCTTCAAAAGGGCAAAGCATTTGGTTGTGCCATTAATGTCAGATTATTTATAATAGTATATTATTACAGCATAAAAGCTGGTAACTGAGATGTAGAGTGAAGGTAGGACCCCAAAACTACATCCCCACAATGAGCTGTACATCATTCAAGTTTACCCCCAATTTCTGATCTTCTGATCTCCAACCCAAACTTTTTTTAATGGTAATGTGAAGTGGAATTCTGGCTGTGAAATCTGTAAATTCAAGTCATAACAGTAACAAGTAAAATAAAAAAGTCAGCACGCAACAAGTAGTGAAAAGCATTCTCACAGATGATTAGCTTTCCCAATTATGGTTTCTGATATGAGATTACCTTGCTGGCTTGTGGCGTGTTAAGGATGTGTACAGTGCTGGGTTTGACACCGTTGGCTTTGGCTCTTTTGTAAAGGGCAAACCGGCTTTTCCTTCGCCCTCTGTCTCCATTGGGGAGTGAACCATTGTACCTTTTCAAAAAGAGAAAAGCGTAAATTAGATAACATTAGATGAGGGAGATTTTAAGACTTGTTTCAAGTCAAATGCAGAATATAATTTTCCAGCGAGTGGAAATGGTGCTTCACAGCTTTATAGATCCCAGGCATGCCACATGAGCAGAGCAACACAGAATCCAGAAAGCCACTCAGATTTCTGCAGTACTGGAATGCTCATCATTCAAAATGAGCTTCGTAATTACAATGCTTTTGCACAATTATTAAACCACATTGAAATATCTGTATAGACAGTACATGCCATGTGCTTCAAAGAGTAGGGACGGTGCTCGGTGTCATCTACTACACATACTCAACACACAAGGGGCTTGTGATAAAACATTTCAAAACACTTTCACTTTAAAACAACATTGCTTTAATGTGTATTATGAGCAAAATGCTCCAGGTTCACTCACTATTTATATAGGCTTGTCTGTTCATTAGATGAAATAAAATGTTAAATTCATCCTTTAAATTGCATTCCAGTAAAAATCCCAGTCATATAGCATATGTCGAGCATTTACAGTATCATAGAACGTTGAGTAAAGTGATCGAATTGAAGAGGAAAAAAACGAATAAACGAAAATAGAAATATAATCAATAACAGGCTAATAATAATAATAATAATACAGAAAAAAGACATTCAGTTAATAGACTTACAAGACTGTGGGATGGATAAACATGTATCTTGTAGGCCTATTTTATTTGATGTACCTTATGTATTATTCATAAACTTCTTTCGAATGCTGTTTACATCGCGCATAGACATTCACGTAGACAGCATCGCCTATTGTTAATATAATCTTTTAATAATGTATTAATTTCTATAATATAATAATTTCTTAATTTAAAATAAAATATTAATAAATACATCCCTGATAATCCCGGGTTACTATGGTCATGCAGGTTTGTTTACGCATTAAACTCATGGCCACGAGAAAAATGTCGTTCCCTCAACATAGCATCTCGTGGCCACGACATATGACGTTCCCACGAGTTAATATGACATGGCCACGACAAAATTAAGTGAACCGAACAGGTCCCCTCACCATCACCATAAATATGAGCATAGCAACAACCATGTTAAATTTTTGCTCGTTGTTAATTTAACACCACTTACCTGTCTTAAACTGTCCTGATCGTCCATTTTGAAGCGGTTAATTAGCCAGAATAGCGTGTTTGGTGCCTGGTTCCACACTGATTGTAAGGCAAAACGTGATTGGTTGGCGCGAGAACACGCTACGATTGATCGGCGCCACGTGACCGGTATCTGATTGGCTTAAGTAGAAGGGGGGTGGAGTCCATCCATTTGTGGATTGGTTTGCCTCTTGACGCTTGAAAGGTCTCAAAATCCACAAATAAGCGCAACGATTTCCAAATGCACAGGGAGCTATCCACAAATGCATGCAGCGATCTACAAATGCACAGGACGCGATTCACAAATGAATGCCAGGCAAAGTTGTGTTTGTGACATAAAAATATATCTGTGTTTTTTATTTGCATATCTCATTTTATTTTTTGTGTGAATTTAATTCTTGTTTGTGAAACTCTAAGATTTATTTGTGGATCTCATTCTATTTATTTATCAATACATTTTATTTTTGTTAATCTCTTTACATTTATTTGTGGATCATAATGTATTTATTTGGAATTATGCAATGATTCTACCCCCATAAACATGATTCACATGTAAATGTTCTCTTGTATAACAGCATGTGTAGCTCTCATTAAGTTACTTCCCTTGGGCAGGTTCCTTTTAATGTTGCATGCAAACTTAAAGTATAATTTGAAAACATAACTATCACTTACTCATAGAGAAGAGAAATGTGCATCATAAAATGACACTCATTTTAAACTTACACAACATTTAATTAAACCTATTACATTATTTAATCAAGCTACTCATAGTTAAACACACCATGGTGCTCAAGAGTCCTTAGACTAAATGCTGTCAATACAGAGACTTTTCCCATTGGCTCCAGCTCTTAACGTCATCCTGGTACAAGCAGTCAGGTTTTTGTTCTGCTCCATAAGATTTTCCTGGTATAATCATTCTGGATTTCTTTTATATAGCATTCAGGAGAACAAGGATTCAGAGTAAAATGCTAATGTGCACTCAGCTCCCTACAGTGTGCATGATGTCAGCATTGACAAGACGCCCCATCATCCTGTCTGTTGATGCTATCACTAGACATGATGCAACAATTAGAGAAAGCATCACGGAATGTCTGAACCATTAAATACTAACATCCTGTCTACGGAGACGTCATTATCTGGTCAGATTTTGAAGATGTGCTCTTTAGTCTTTGAGATCCCACGATCCTGCACAAGCGGTTCATGGAAAGAATGACAGCTCAGTTGAAAGTTAATGCATGACTTCATTTTTAGCGGGAACAAGTCCTTAGATACTTGCTTGGTTGTGACTAAAGCTCATTTGAATTGTTCTAGATCATTAGACATGGTGCCTTGGAAGTCTGTCTGAAACTAGTTGCCTTAAAAGGCGCCTTCATAGGCAGCTGCTTTAACTTTCCGATTCAGCCAGCATGATGTCGGTATGAAAAGTGACCCACATGCCATTCAAGAATGCATTTATCTGAAATGGATGATAAAACAATAACAGGTTGGATGTGAGAAATAAAAAAAAATTGTAAAAAAAGTTAAATATTTTGAATTCAGACTTTAAATTACACTAATCAGGGAGTTCTCTACAGTACATCTGAGATTCTTTAGGTTTATCGTATCCTTTCAGAGGTCAGAGTTTGAATGACAGCGATTGTAAGGCCATCTCAGTGAGTTGGCAGAAACTTTAGTGTCAGCAAAATCCATCTCCCCCCACAGCTATCAGTCACAGAGGAAAGACACCATTACAAAAGGTGCATTTTCGAGGGTTGTAATTTCCCACAAAGCCTTATCAAAAAGCTCAGTCAGTCTAATGAGAACAATGAACAGAGAGAGGAGGACTGGAGGCTCAGATGTGCCTGTGCCCAGATCAATAATACCCTCTTTCAGCCTCGGCTCTCTGTGTGCCAGCCAATGCCAGGCAACCCCACTGAATCAGGGCAGTGGAAAGTTGGTACCATGATTTATTTTTTTCACAAGGAATATGCTACAGTAGGTTTGTTTGGCTCATACAGGTTATCAAATTCTATAAATCAAACGTTCCAAGAATTTTTCCATGCATAATTTCATGCATTCTGCTTAATTTTGAACTATGTCACAGTTGTATAATAAATGTTTATTCACTTTACAGGGCTCTACAGTGCGACCATTTCAGTCGCATTTGCGACTGAAAACTACTGTGTGTGACAATAAACATTTTTTTAGGAGCACCAGTGCGACTGACCCGATCATCATCATACTTGTGCTCTATTTTGTTGTTGAAAATTGTTTAAAACAAAGTCACAGCTCAGCCGCTGCGCATCTCCATTCAAACACAGCAGTGTCTCATTTCTGAATGAACGTTTTTTTTTTTTTACGAATCTAGTGAGTCAGTGATTCATGATTACCCATTCATTATATTACATGAATCCATCATTACCCATTCATTATTATACAGTCACATGATTCATTCCTGAATGAATCAGCCATTCGAATGAATCAATTGAATGAATGATTCAGTGATAAAAATCAGTGACTTACCACCACCTGCTGGCAGTTGGTTTCATTTTAAAAGTATCTTTTCAGTTATTTAAATCATTTAATATTTCTATATTCAATTTTATATTTAAAACATTAATATCATCATGAATTTATGGATTTAATTGCACTCATTCCACTTCTGAGCCTCATTAAATGTCTGAAAGTACACCAAGCCACTTTTGTGTTCTTCTGTGCCACCTCTACAAATTAATTACTAATACTGATTTAATTTGATTTGTAACTTATATTTCTTATTCTACTTGTTCTTATTCTGTCGTTTTAATTACAATTTTTAAAAAGCTTATAAAATATTATTTTTTTAAGAATTTGACAAAAGATGACATACTTTTAATAAAGTTAGAAAAGTAAAATATCACCTCGTAATGGGAAGGCTACTTTTTGATAACATTTTGGATCATTGTTAAGAAGGTGCTCCTAAAATTTTGAACGTGCTCCTAAATTTTTTAAAAGAAAAGTAAGCGTAGAGCCCTGCTTTACATATAAGAGACACAAACCACTCAACCACTTCTACTGATAAACCTTGATTTGGGTCATTTGTGCCTGGTTTCACAGACAGGGCTTAGACTAAGCCAGGATTAGGCCATAGTTCAATTAGGACATTTAAGTAATTTTTATAAACATGCCTTGGAAAATAACATTACTGGTGTGCATCTTGAGACAAAACAAGGGCACTGACCTATTTTAAGATCAATCAGTGCAAGTTTCTTTCAGTTGAAACAGCTCAGACTTACGTTTTAGTCTGGGACTAGACTTAAGCCTTGTCTGTGAAACCGGGGGTTGATGTGTTAACTAAGTTTTTGAAATGATGCACCTGGGAAACGTATTCCTTGAGTAAGTTTGTTATTATGACAAACTTATTTCTCTGACATTTGTTATTATGACATGTCATGCATTTAATTTGGCAACATGATGCAGATTAGTAGCCTTAAAATAATTATATTGCGAATAATAAACTTAATTACATCTGAACTCAAAATGATGAAAATTATTCATTTTTAAATCACCTAAGCTATGGTCATATGTGTCCACTTTTCAGCTAATTTTCCTGGGGGAAATCACCTGGGTTCAAATCGACACACCACTTATGTCACAACTTGTAATCTAATCTCTGAATTCTAGATGATATGCTTGTAAATACAACTGCATGGTCATATTTTTGACATTAATATTACAAAGGCTGTCATGTCTCCGTCATGTTTAAAATTACATTCTGCATGAAAATTATTACTTCAAGAAACTTTTTGAAGAAGTCATGTGTATTTTGAAGCTGCTGTTGTTTTTTTTAAATGCAAGTTGCCAAATAAGGACTACAACCACCGTAAGGATGCGAAATCAGACAACGCTTGTGTTACAAAACAAAACACTCTCTTCGAGTAATGTTAACCACAGACCTTCTTAATTTACTCCCATCAAAAACCACTGTAATAAAACAAAAACCCATAGGAAATTCCTGAGGGAACCCAGGGCGCCTGCAGCCAGGTTGGCCAACAAATTGACGTTAAATTGAAGACTATAACAAAGCTTTCTGTGGTCCTAGACAAGCTGCTCCAACAATAACATGCGTACCTCCGAACCCATGAAATTCATCTCATTGCGGTTTTAACCCTGTAAAGACTGACATATGAAATAGTCAGAAATCTAATTTTATGAAAAAGATCAATTACGTTTTTTTTGGTCAGGTTTTTATGACTCATATATATACAATAGCATGGGAATATGGCGGTCTCATTTAAGGAGGGAGAAACACCAATTATATTCAGAGGCCCAAACGGAGCAGAAACGTGCAATTTGGTGTAGATGTCGATAGAAATTGTGATAGCTCGTAATGTAAAACAATGAGATCTTTATAACATAAAATGCATATGAAAATCAGTTGTCACTTTATATCTCCCAATAATATGCCTAAGATGTGTTTAAATGTTTAGCTTTATTAAACAAAGCTGTGTAGTTTTTGTGGAGGCAAAACATATAATGCAATGCAATACAATGATGCATAAGAGGAATAAACGTTCCTCAAAAGCCTGATCTATCATATATGATACATTTTAACATGATTTTTCTAAAATAAAAAAATGATATAATGGATAATCAAGTAAACCCAAGTTGCTTCAGTTCAGTAAATGTTCATCTTGAAATACTACTAAGTGTATTTCACACAGGTGTGCTGTGATTGGCCAGCTATCCAGTGCGTTGTGATTGGCCGAATACCTCAAGCGTGTGACGGAAATGTTACTCCCCTTACCATACTGTTGATGCCGTGTCCCGGCGCGATGAGACAAAAATATTAAAACCCATGGCTCTGAGTATTGCTGATTACAGAAGCGGCTTTACTGATAAGATGCGCGTTAAATAATGTCCCGGCGCGATGAGACAAAAATATTAAAACCCATGGCTCTGAGTAGTGCTGATTACAGAAGCGGCTTTACTGATAAGATGCGCGTTAAATATCGCATGCGATTTATCGTGCAGCCCTACTTTAAATATTAAAAAAAAAAACTTACAGTCTGTGAGTCAGAACAGCCGACATTGTAGTCTACTCTACCAGGATCAGGAAACAGTCCTCCATAAAATGCGCTGGACACATCTGAATATTTGGGTTGAACTGTTCTGGAACAGTGTTGTAAATACAACTTAACCACTGATTTCTAGTCGTGTCCTCTTTTGGAAGACCAAACAAAGTAGTTTCGCTTTCACGACGAAACACAGCGTCACACACGGCAGGCTAGAGTGAGCGGCGGCCGGCGGGCTTGCGGAAACCACATGTGACGACCCCGGGCTGGACTCCGCTTCGTCCACGGTGAAAGCCGATCCGGCGATCCACAGCGCGAAGTTGATGTATTTCCTCAGCGACCAGCACAGATCAGCTCTAGGCATGACGAAGCGGATATCGTCCTCTTTTGGAAGACCAAACAAAGTAGTTTCGCTTTCACAACGAAACACATGGCGGCAACAACAATACTACAGCGAGAATAAAAGTTACGCCTTCTTTCTTTGCGTGAACATTTGGGCGGCGTTATGCAAATCTTCCCACATAGTGAGGTAGACATGTGGGGGCGTGTTAGAACGAGCCGTTTTAGGTAGGCGTGGTTGACTTAACTTTTATAAAAAACTTTACAGATCTTCTTTATGCACCAAGGAGATTTATAAAAATATAAAATCGCATCATATGACCCCTTTAAATATCTCAAGAGTTGGGATGATTTTGATTGTAATGCTATCGAAATGAGCCTTGCAAATTTTGGATTGCCCTTATTTGACACATCCAAACCAGCACATACAGAGCATCTTTTAACTAACGAGGAAGACATCCAACATATGTAGTGCTCCATGAATGTTTTGAAAAGCCCTGGGGGGTATTGTAAAAAGGAGACAACCTCTGTGCTCAGTCACAGAAAAGGAGGGGGAACAAATAACTTTAGTGGGCTGCTTCCGAATTCCTCCACCGCCCTTATTCTCGTGCAGATGATGAACGAGCCCGATGAGAAAGTCCCATCAAGATCCGAGCGCTGGGGCCAAAATAAGAGCCTCGAGGATGAAACCAATTCACAGCTAACCCATCCACCCCCCATGATGGGGTAAATGCACATCACATTTAAAAACCGTGTTTCTAAATCATAGGGAAATTACCTTAGAGGATGATTTTTCGTGCATAAAAATAATGTAGTTCTTAGAGGCTCGTTTAAACGTACAGACAGCACTCGTTACAGCGCTCGTGTTTCATTTGTGCAGTAACGTGAGTGCGTGAATTTTAGGAGCTGGGAGGTCTGTGTGTAAACAAACTATTTCCGTACTCTCCAAAAACGCAGTTATGAACTAAACAGAGGCTCAAAAATATGCTTGAGAAAATGGCTTTCTAAAGAAGCCTATTTTGAGATTATTAAAAGGCACGTGAACGAATGTAACTTAGAAACCGCGAATAATATCAGAGAATCAAAGGCGTCAATATTGGACACACATGAGGAAAAATAGCTGCGCGCGTGGACTCACCCCAAAACCACCAGTTCGCCGTACTTTACTGGCTCTTTGGTGGGCGCACAGTGCTCCTCTTGACCCGGTGAAAGCATGAGGCTTTTCAAGCTACACTCTCTCAATTACACGATCAATCCAGCGACGAAAAGGGAAAAGACTTCAAAGGACGGTCCTAACTGCCACATTTCCCATTTACCTGCTCCCAAACTTGAGTCGTACTTAAAAAAACTTAAACAGTTAAATCCTACATCAGAGAGAGATTAAAAAATAATAATGATAATAGTAAAGCCTTAAGTCTCGGAGGCATTTCATGATAGGAACAGCGGATAACTTACAGCTTCCATCCGCTGAAAGAACAACAGTACTAGTAAGTGCTGGACCGTACCATTCACTTAAAACGACTTTCCGCGGGGAAGCATACGAAGAAACTTTGCAAATATTATAGCGACTATTCTCATAGCTTTATCATTGGTTAGTGTATACTTAGAAGTGTTAGAGAACCGGGTTTCCTCTGCACAATCTGTAATGGAAAATTTGAGCCTGTGATATTTCACCTAAAAAAAAAAACACCCCCCCTCTAACGGCACAATCCAACACAACGGCGGTCTTCTCGTCTGAGGCGGCACCTTCAATTATGTAAACAAAGGCTGAAATTTAGACATATTTAAAGTAATATGCTTGGTTTTGAGAATTAAAAAAATAATAATTTGATTAAAAAAAACTTGTTTTATTTGTATGTGTAAATCCTATAGTGCAAGAAAAGCCCACATATCAGTAATCAAATAAATGTGTTTGCTTTTCCACTGATTTAAAGCCACACACCAAGACCTCTACATTTTATTGTTTCATACAGACACGTTCACCCAAAATGGAAGGTCCGCCATTATTCACCCTCATGTCAAAGTTTTTAGTTTTTTCCGGCAGAACACAAAAGATGATATTTTGCAGAACATTGGACTCCTTTGGCTTTCATTGTATATGGACAAAAACTTGTTAATCTATCCCTTTAATTTGCAGCTATCATTTTTGTAATATGCTGAATGGGAGTTGCCTTTACGAATAAATGATTTTGACTTTCAAAAAGCTCATGTGCAGCCATAACATGTGTAAATTATGCAATAGGGTCTGAGAATATAAACTGTTGACCTGTTGTAAAGCATCACCGTGTTAAATGCTGTCCGTTCCATCACAGACAGCATGCTGTTCCAACAGCTCAGTCCACATGAATGAGCCATTTGCTAGGAGTTTGCTTTTCATCCATACATGCCTTCACAGAAGCATTCAGATTCTGTTTAAGTTTGATGGGTTGGTAAGTAGGATTATAGATTTATTGAATCTCTATTTCCAACTTTGAGACACTAGAAATGTGTGTTTGCTTAAAGGCAAGACACCACAGGTGAATAAAGTAAACTTTTTGACTAATAGATATCACCACACTTCCCCAGATGATTAATCACAGTACAGTGAGACAACTGTTTGTATTACAAGTTTTCTTAAATGTTGTTTAAATATGCAAATTTGGCATTATCTAATTAAATATGTTCTAATTTGCATACATTTCTAGAATATAAATCCAAAATTCTTGTTTCATTTTAGAGTCAGAGGTGTTGGATGTCTTTGTTTATGACTCCATAAATCAGAAAATACTGTCAACAGCAATAAGTAAGTAAAATAAATAAATATTCACCATGTTTTAGGAATAAAATGTTACATAAATCAGGAAAATGATACAAACTTGCAGCAACATTTTTGGGTTCACTTTCAATTAACATTTGATATAATAACCATATTTTCTTAGAGTGAAGAACATTTAAATAATCTAAAGAACCTTTTCCACTATAAAATAAATCAATACATAAATATAGAAACATTTTGCCCTGTGGAAATGTTTCACGAATGTTAAAGGTTCCCCGTGAAACCATCAATGTCAATACCTTTATGAACAATCTTCATAATATAGATAAGAATAAAACTGGGGCGTTTGGTGTATGCAAGTGCTGCTGAAGCAGAGAGATTGCTTTTTTTTTTTTTTAAGATTTGTATATAAAAGATCTGAAAGAAGATATTAAGGAAGCAAAATAGGCCAAAATCATAAAATTGTCCAGTGCATGGAGAGAAAAGAAGAAGAAAAAAAAAGTCTTGCCTTAAAAGATTTGTTCACCCAAAAAGAAAAATTCTGTCATGATTTACTTTCTTTCTTGCATGGAACAGCAAATGAGTTGTGAGAGTGAGTAAATGATGACAGAATATTAATTTGTGGGGAAGCTGTTTTTTTTATCATTGACACATTAAAGGAAGGAAATGGCTCTCTTGCTGAAGTGTATGTTCTCATTCAAGTGCATGTTGTCAGTTTGCTTTCTCTGGATGAATGAATGCTAAAATAGTCTTGTTATTGATCACAAGTGGTGAGGTTTTGCCAAACCTCCCGATCAGCCGTTAAAGTGCCCCTATCATGCAATTTTTAAGGTTCCTGATATTGTCTTGGGAGTCTCCTACAAGAGGATTACATGCATGCAAGGTCAAAAAACGCTTTCGTTTTCTCAAAATATGCATTTATCACCTCATTCTCCAGCTATTCTCAAACGATTCGTTCGAAGTAGTTCAAAGATTCAGTCTCTCCAAACCCCGCCTTTCCGTGAGCCGGCTCTGCTCTGATTGGTCAGATGGCCTAGTCGGTTTTGATTGGTCTACAGCGTACAGCGCGTTTCGGAAACGATAAGCCTATTTCAATAGTTCTGTATTTTGAATGCTTTACAGAAAATATAAACATATTTATCATACTTACAGGTTGTGATTCAGCGGAGAAGCTGGTCCAAATAAACAGGATACTGATCCATCTTTCAACAGCAAGCCGTTTGTGAATCCAGCATTGAACTCCTTGAGATTAAAGCAGCAGCCATCAGTAGAATTGCATGTTTGTGGGCGGGGTCAAGTTGTTCGCGGCCGGCCAATGTAGACCGCATTATGCAAATGTGTTACCTGGTGACGTGTAGCCGTCACGGAAGTGGGATTCGAATTACTAACGACTCGTTTCAGCTGTTCAGAGTCGATTCTTTATTTTTGGAGAAAATAACTATTTATCGTGCACTTTCAGCTTTACAAATTTGCAGATCGTTTACATTCACATACAGCTGCATTACATACTGCATGAAAGGCAACATTGGAAATGGCATAATAGGGGCACTTTAAACTCTACCACGCCTTCATGTACTTTGATGGCTGTTCAGTCATTCACACGTTCCTGCTGAATGCGTCACCTCCACACTTCTGTAAAGGCTTTTGTAATCAACCCACACTTGTTATCACAGTCCATCCAGAGCAGTTGGGGTTTTTTGGCAGGTGTTTCACCTCCTGCACACTCCCTCAAAAAAACAACAGGGCCCCAAATGACTTTGTCACAGCTGCAATTCCTTCGTTTGTTCTGGAATCATTATGTGTGTAAGTGTCACAGCAATACCCACTTTGACAGTATTTGTTGTGCTGAATTAATACTAATGGGAATGCGACTGAATTTACAAAAAAACATGTCCAGACGCATATCAGTAAAGCGAAGTTGAGAGAGAGGACAGTGTACTTAAGTGAAGTGAAGTGACATGTGGCCAAGTATAGTGACCCATACTCGGAATTAGTCCTCTGCATTTATCCCATCCAAAGTGCACACACATAGCAGTGAACACACACAAACCGTGAACACACACCCGGAGCAGTGGGCAGCCATTTATGCTGCGGCGCCCGGGGAGCAGTTGGGGGTTCGGTGCCTTGCTCAAGGGCACCTCAGTCGTGGTATTGAAGGTGGGAGAGAGCGCTGTACATTCACTCCCCCCACCTACAATTCCTGCCGGACCTGAGACTCGAACTCGCAACCTTTGGGTTACGAGTCCGACTCTCTAACCATTAGGCCTATTTCAATAGTTCTGTATTTTGAATGCTTTACAGAAAATATAAACATATTTATCATACTTACAGGTTGTGATTCAGCGGAGAAGCTGGTCCAAATAAACAGGATACTGATCCATCTTTCAACAGCAAGCCGTTTGTGAATCCAGCATTGAACTCCTTGAGATTAAAGCAGCAGCCATCAGTAGAATTGCATGTTTGTGGGCGGGGTCAAGTTGTTCGCGGCCGGCCAATGTAGACCGCATTATGCAAATGTGTTACCTGGTGACATGTAGCCGTCACGGAAGTGGGATTCGAATTACTAACGACTCGTTTCAGCTGTTCAGAGTCGATTCTTTATTTTTGGAGAAAATAACTATTTATCGTGCACTTTCAGCTTTACAAATTTGCAGATCGTTTACGTTCACATACAGCTGCATTACATACTGCATGAAAGGCAACATTGGAAATGGCGTAATAGGGGCACTTTAAACTCTACCACGCCTTCATGTACTTTGATGGCTGTTCAGTCATTCACACGTTCCTGCTGAATGTGTCACCTCCACACTTCTGTAAAGGCTTTTGTAATCAACCCACACTTGTCACCACAGTCCATCCAGAGCAGTTGGGGGTTTTTGGCAGGTGTTTCACCTCCTTCACACTCCCTCAAAAAAACAACAGAAAATCGTTTGTTCTGGAATCATTATATGTGTAAGTGTCACAGCAATACCCACTTTGACAGTATTTGTTGTGCTGAATTAATGCTAATGGGAATGCGACTGAATTTACAAAAAAACATGTCCAGACGCATATCAGTAAAGCGAAGTTGAGAGAGAGGACAGTGTACTTAAGTGAAGTGAAGTGACATGTGGCCAAGTATAGTGACCCATACTCGGAATTAGTCCTCTGCATTTATCCCATCCAAAGTGCACACACATAGCAGTGAACACACACAAACCGTGAACACACACCCGGAGCAGTGGGCAGCCATTTATGCTGCGGCGCCCGGGGAGCAGTTGGGGGTTCGGTGCCTTGCTCAAGGGCACCTCAGTCGTGGTATTGAAGGTGGGCTACGTGGAAAGTCACCTCTCCCGAATGAGTTTGCGTGAGAGAAAGTAATCTTTTAGTTTTAAAGGGGTCATATGATGCTTTTTTAAAGATCATTATTTTGTGTATTTGGTGTAACAGAATATGTTGACATGCTTTAATGTTCAAAAAACACATTTTTTTCAAATACTGTACATTATTGTAGGAAATAGCATCATATGACCCCTTTAAGTCGGTTTGAACAATCCAGATAAGCGCAAGTAAGTACCATTTTGATTAGCCGTCGTACCTACAATGACTGTGCACTGTGTAAACAATGAGTGACGTATACACGCGAGAGATCACTTCCGGCGCTTGCGTAAACTACGCCAGAGCGCGTACACACCTCACGCACCAGATGCACGCTCAAAGCA